AAAAAAAAAAGCTATCCTGGTGCCTCTCCTAAACAAGTAAAAGAGCCGTTAAAAGCGTTAATGAAGAATCAAATGCTCAGTTAGGCGTTATTTACCTCGTTCGTCGCTGACGGTTTTCCATCTGTAAGAACTTTTTTCAGTTCGTAAACAACACCAGTGTCCTCGTCCTTCAATACCGTTTCTCTTTTTGAATTAGCATATGCAAGTCCTAAACCCAATACAGCTCCTATCCGCATAACGGGTCGTTCGCTATGAACATGGTCCATCAGTAACGCTGATGCTGGATCACAAGGGTCTTGGATCCCTGACGATATTACACCGATTGCAAGAAGGGTGCCAGCCTGAAATATCAATATATAAAAAACCAATACGTGGTTTCAGGCGGTTACAACCATCGATTAATATACCTAAGAGATAGAGTAAAGAAAACAAAAGTTTAATCATTTCGAAATAAAAAAAGCGCTCTATCAATAATTAACAGCAGCTTGTCAAGAACTGGAAAAGGTAACTAAATGTGAAACATTTCCAATCGCACTTTAGAAGACTCACCTTTATGTAATCATCATTCACGTATAAGAAGCGGTCGCACTGGGAAAGACCAACATCGAAATCCCAACGCCAAACAAGCCCTTGACTTGCTGCCGATGACAACATTCCTGCAAATCGGTCATACATCACAAAAGCAATCCACTAGCAATAACGCGAGAAATTTTGTCATAAAACCAACCGAATTCTTTATTTTTATAGAACCACCGGTTGGCATCTTCCGTTTCCGTCAACATTTTGTCAACACCAAATCCCATGTTTACAAACCCGTTAACAAAAGCGGCAGCCAAATTCATTCGAGCACTATCAGGAGCACTAGAGGAGGAGAAAGGCCCTAAATGACATAACTATGATATTTACAAAAGAGAAATAATGTAAGTGAACTCCCTCACACAGTGTGAACCAAAATCGCGACGAAAAACTATAAACAAAACAACGTTTCAAAACGGAAAAAAAAGCTTAACGCTCACTGCTTTGCTCAAGGTGAGTTTTGTAAATCTCCTCCGGAGTTTTTGGCTCCATTATGTCAAGCTCTCGGGCAAGTGACTTGAAGTAAACGTGCAAATTAGTATTAGAATTCAGCTCTGCAAGAGCTTCTCCATTCTCAACGCCTTCGAGTTCCAGAAATATTTGCTGACGTCCCAACAGAACAGCCATTTGTTTTTGCAGCAGGCTAAAGAGCCTCTTACAAATTTTTACTAGGCACCGTACATTGAAAAAAAAATAAAACTAAAAAAGAAATAATAAAATAATAATAATCCAAATCACTAAGAAACTACAAGAAAGCTTACAGATCTTTCGTCGAAAGAAAAATTTTGCGTATCATTTCCACGTTATTTAGCATTACAGCACATCGCAAAGCCTCAAATTGGCGATTGAATTTCAGATATATATCCTTAGCGGTAGCAATTAGTATTTGATTGTCTGGGTCTGGCGTTAAAGGTGAACAACTAAACCAGTTTTAAATCAAAACATTTACTTTTTGACCTCATCTTAAAAAGAATGAATGATTGCAAAGTTAAGAAAAAAAAGAAAAAACTTGAACAGTGATAATACCTTAACAAGTATAAGCATACGCGCTGATGATCAACTTCTTCCACAAAATCTATCAGTAGGTCAAGACGTTCTATTTCTATTAGCAAGTCACATGCTTCAACTTCAGCGTTATGCTTCATGTTGTGCGAGACTGTTTCCTTGACTAGTTTTAGAAGAGCATCTCGACGCTCTTCTTCCGCATCTTCTGGAACAGATCGCCACTCTTCGGCAATTTCCATGGCTAGATGCCTCAAAAATGCAATAAAATAGTTTGTTTCAAAGGTACACTCGAGGTTAAAATTTCTACAAATGTAACTATTTATAAATGTACCTGATGAAGTCATAGAATTCTGCTAGTCAGCGTCAAATTTTTTAAGAAAATTAAATGGTAAAACTTCATTTACCTAACATACTCGTGTCCCCATTCTCCTATAGGTTCATGCATTCCTTGCATGCGGTAATTTATACAGTCATTCCTCTCACCAGATGTCATTGCTAATACAGAAATAATATCGGCACATAAATGCTGAAAAACCAAATTTGAATAAAATGAAATGAAAATTTGAAGAGCCATACAATATAGATAATTAAAAAAACCATGAAAATTTTCACCTTTGCTGGACCTTCGGCCATTTTTTGATGAATTTCTTTCATCTTTTGAAAATGAGGCCTCATAAATTTCAACGGCTTTGGGACGGAAGTCATAGATGTAGTAGATGCCCTTATGAGAGTTCGCATCGTTTCCAGAGACGGCTGATAGAGAGAAACATTAGGTTCCTAGAAGAAACATCTTTGTCAGACGTCCCGTCAATAATTTTATTAGTAAAACGCAACAAACCAGTCTGAATGCTTACGTCAAGCCTTTTCACAAGCATTTCTAAATCTTCTTGCAACTTTCGATCCTCTTCAGTCTGAAAAAAACAACAGCTGAATGTATGAAGAACAATATCCGTCTAAGAAGTAGCATGCGAAAGGCACAGCAAACAATAAACTGATGAGTACTGTTAATTAAAAACTACCATCTCATCTTTTTTTTCATCCTTTTGTGTTTTCTTTTTCTCACCAACAGGTGGAGGTTGCTTTTCATCTTTTCTTGAGACGTCATTCAGCGTCTTTTCCTCACCCATGATTTACCTGTAAATGCCTTCAACAACAGGGTAGGTTTGGCGAAAATGGTAAAAACGAAGCAAATAATCGTAAGCACAAAAAAAAAAGAAAGAAAAAAAAAAAACAAAAATCAAATGAACTAAATGAAAGGAAGAAAAAGTAAATTAATGCTCTGATCTGTAAAATAACGAAAAAAACGTTATCCATCGCTTCTCCACCAATCAAAAAAAATTGTTTTTCAACCGTCCTGGACCCTTAAGTTGATAAATTCACATTCACCAGAATGTAAAATAAAGCGTATCAAGCAGGTGACACTGAAAGATGATAACAAAAAGTTGACAAAAATGGTCCACAAACCATTAGGTTACAGTCTTGCAGAAATACTTTTATGCAATCTTCGTGTCTTTAATAGCGCTTTTGGACAGCGGGAGCAGCAGCACCAGCAACATTTTCATCACTCAAAGATTTTGGCTATTGCGCTGCTATTGTTGAAATTCAAATATATGAAATTTTTCGCTTCAATTTCCGTCAAACGTTGAAACTCATAGAGCAGCATAGCAGAAATTTCGTAGAAAAATGATGGTAACTTGTAGCACTGTTACGTTTTGGCCATTATTGGTACTGTTCGTTGGATGGCCATAGCCGTTATTAGTTTAGAACGACTAAAATAGGCTAGTACTGTGTAAATTTACGGTGAATAGAGAGTAATTTTTGCCTTAGTATCACGGAGTAGATCAGCTCTGTTAACACTGATTCGAGCAAGTGGAGCAGATGCATGAGTTACTGACCATACTAGTTATCAGAACCAGAACTATGTTACCCAAGGTGTTCCAGTAATCACTATTAGTAAGGGATTGGTAGTAATCGTTTTACTTTTTTTTTTCTTGTTTTTTTAATCACCTCGTAAGTTTGTTTTGTTGCTACAAAAGATATTAAACAGTTCAAAAACTAAACCGCCGCTTCATCTGTTCTTGACCTTTACAGCGTGAACGCACCAACCTGTACTACATTATTTAAGTGCTGTAAAAGTTACTGGTTTGTTGAGCATAAAAGTGCTTTTTCTTCTGTTTTTATGGATTTTTTCTGCTGATCGGAATATCTGTAGATTTTTTTAAATCAAATTTTTAAGTAATAATATTCAAGACTGATGAATTTATTGCACACAAAGCTATCAACCTCTGTCTACCACTGATTTGATTACTAGTTTATTCGGCTATGTTTCTTATTAAGTGGACTTGGCATCTTGAGTGACTTAATTTTGAAGGGTTTCGTCGTGTCGATAACACCTTGTGAAGTAAAACTTTACTTTGAACAAAACCGATACATTAATCTTCAAGAGGCTCAAAATATTATGGCTGACTTTCGAATAAGTGCCCTTCCTTGGAACAACGAAAAACCTGAGTAGACCTAGAAAAAGCAGCTGTGACTGATTGCACATCGTAACTGCGTTAAAAAAATCATAATTTTTTTGAAATAAAAACACTAAGCAAATAGGGCGACTGGCAAGTGAAAATAAAGTGTCTGGTTCTTGCATTTTAGTTCCAGTTTACTTTGCTTTTGCACATTACTTACCTGTGACACTGTCGCTTTTCTGCTCGCAGAGATAAATTATTTTGCCAGAAGCTTAATTTGTTGACCAGATAATTTCCTTTGGAGCTACTAATTGTTCTTCGCTAAAAGGTGCTTGCTTTTTAAGTTATTGCATCGAACATTTGTTTGAACTACCACGAAAAAAAAAATTTTAACTGTTTTTTTTTTACTGAGTTTTCTTTTGCACTGTTTTTAATCACAGAAAGACTTCTTGAAGACAGCTGATTGAAAACGGTTCGAATAGCACGAATAATTTGCGAGAAATAAGCTTATAAAGCCTTATTACTGCAGTTCCTGACACATTCATCATGTCAAATACCATTCAAAATACCTGCTGTTTGAAGTGACTTCTTTGATTTTCTTTCATTTTTGTCTCTTAGGGAAAAGTTTTTCAAGAAATAGAATAAATCAGGAACTTGCAAAAATATTACAGAAGGAAGTGCTTTACTTCTCAGTTTGAGACTTCAGACGATGACAGGTCGCATATTCTTTCAACACTCTTTCTTCATTCTCAACAAAAAGCCGGCAGGCGCTGTAGAATAGAGATCTTTTAACTACAGAAAAGTAAGTAGGAATGAAAAGTTATCGAAAACAACACCTTATTTTAGAAAAAAAACCTTTGCTTTTAAAAGAGTTGGGTAGTTAGTCAGAAAAGACAAATCCAGCAAACCGTTTATACGACTTCTTGGTAGCAAAGCACGGAAAGAAATTAAATTTGCTGTAGTAGATTCGAAGTATTGGTGATTCTGTTTTGTTTTGAAAGGTCTATATTACAAACGTTTGCGCTCATAGTACGGCAACGGAAGTTGTAACCTATTTTCGCTATAACATTTTTGAACTCCTTTGTTTTGATGTAATACTGGGTTTGGTTTCTACATAGTAAATTTCATTTGGGAGTGTTAAGGTATGAACTGTTTTAATTTGCCGAGAAAATGGAGATATTAGTTTCAAAAAAGTGCATCTAAAGAGGTTCAGATTATCATTTATCGGAATGATACCGTATCTTCAGCAAACTGTATTAAAAATCACAGATAAGTGCATGGCTGGAAAGTTGTAAAGGACGGCGCATCGTCATTTTACGCGGTTACGTACCGTTAGTCAGTATCGAAACTTAATACATTCTACAACAGTAGCATTCTGAATTGTACCGTGAAATAAATGGAGGGATAAGGGTGCAGAAACACTCTGATTCTTGCCACTTCTGTCACAAATTCAATTTCGCGCAAGTGGTTTGAGGACGAATGAAATATCAAACGGACACTAAAATTTATCGGAAGAAATAGCCAGAAACCATTCAAAAATTAAATTTACAGATAATCTTGTATTTTATAAAGTTTTTTTGGAAAAAAAATATGAAAAAATTGTGAAGTTAAGATATCTTACACTCTCTTAGCTTACACTTGCTGCGTCAAATGTTCCATTTTGAAGTGATATGGCTCAAAATGATAATAGCCTCGAACTACAAAATGTGATTCAAACCACGCTTTCTGAAACTTCCAAAATAGTAATACTTAAAAATACCCTTGACACATTACCCAATTCAAACGGCGAATTAGACGTTGACAACGCAGCTGATGTTGATAAACTGTAAGAAAAAGTCACAGCTTCAGGCATGTAGGTACGGATTATCGTCTACACTTAATACCTGTTGATAAAGTAGAGCAAATTTCTATATGCTTGAAATACTGATAAATAAACCGACTAAAACAACTACACCAGTTCCAAATAATGCTAAACGGTTTTGAGAGAGCTTAGTTCAAATTGTTTTGCTGAGGATGCTTAAATCATTAAGTTATTCCATAGTAGAAAGCTACTGGTTTTAGAAGTCAAATTACCGCAGTGTATAGACGTTTACATAGATCAAAAAATGCAGCTGCGAAAACCATTAATACTGAAAAATTAATTGAAATTGTTATTATCCGGTCATAGTTCATATACTGCGTTAGGTGGTCACTACATTTGCCTTAGTGTGAGTGTGATTTCCTAGTCTCTAGCAAGTATATCTAATCTATATGCCTGCTGGAGGTCCATAAAAAGATTTTTTTATTGCTTTCTGTTGTCAGTTACTATTATAGTCACTACTTCTAAATCTCCCTTATTATTTAACGTCACAGGGAACGTAACAAGTGGCGACCGAGATAGCGGCCAACTCTCAAATTGATTCCAGGGTGCTCCTCTGTGTGGTTCTCGCCTTGCCGACTAAATAAAGGAAGAACTTTGCAACTGAGTCAGTAAGCATCAAGAACGGGACTTTTAGATTAATTCTGTTCTTGCTACTATTGCGGTGTTGCCACGGTCACCAGAGCAAAGTTTTAGCAACTGTCTTAACGGAGGAGGGAGGCACAAGAAACAGACTTGTAAATTCCATAAAGCAAAACGTTTTAAATGTTACAAAAAAGGGTCATACTGCACGAGCACTCCAGCAACAAGCAATATGCAGCAAAGGATTTGTAAACAAAACTGATCTTCAGTTCAAAGAGGACTTTTATCAAAAGCGAAAAGATCACTAACTCGTCATCGCATGAATGATACTTAATTATCTTTGTAGGCTCCGCTAAGCTATAGCCAGTCGCTGCGTGTACCCGAAGTTATTCGAGTGATCCACTGTCATTCAGTGGATTAATTTTAAGCAGTAATTCAGTACCAGAATATTTCAAAATGTTCTGTCGTTTGAGCGCCCGAAACGGCACACGACAGCGTTTTGAAACGTGACTTAATATTTGCACCTGAGTAAGACCATGTTCCTTCAAATTTTTTTATAATAATATTTTAGAGAATGCGATAATTTCAAAATTACACTGTGAATTTTCACACTTATTTGTTGAAGTATTAGAACGTTGCACTCAAAAAAAAAGGCCCGTTACAATTAAAGCCTGGAGCTGTTTCTCCGTTTTGTCAGAAACGACCAGTTCCTTACACTATTCGTCCAACACTTAAAAAGGAATTCAACCGACTGATTGAGCTAAATGTTCTCACACTTGTCGTCTCTTCTGAACGGATAAACCCAACTGTACATTTAAGAGGGTTAATGGTACGCCTATGCGCTGATTTCTTGACTGGGTTGAATGCTGCGTTAGATGTACATCAATTCCCCTTATTATATGAATTAGGAAGATATTTTTGCAACTCTAAGTGGAGGCTGTACCTTTTCACATTTTGATTTGTCTGATGACCACTTTCAGAGTAAAGTTTTGACAAAGCAAAAAATTACTATTGATCACCATAAATATAGGTTTTTTTAGTAAAATAGGCTAATATTTAGTGTTAGCATGGCGCTAGCAATTTTCCAACATATCATGTAGCAAGGTTCCTTCTTAACATGTTCATTTGACTGGTCGGCAAAGTGAGATTGTTATGATGCTGTCATAGTTAATATACTGTGGTAAGGCATCACTATGTCTGCTTTAGTACAGATGTGACTTCCAACCCT